GTTGCTACCACCTTAGTTCATATTAGTGAACAGTGGCTGTCTTTTCAGTGCTTCCTGATTTCAGTGGTAACTCCTACTCTCCTCAAATACTGTCTGTTTTCTAGGATGTGGATCTGATTGTATCTGAATCCTGCATAGATCATACCATGACTCCCCATTGACTACCAGGATGCAGTCCTCTCACAGGTTTTATGATATTTTGCTGTGCTTTCTGAAGGTGACATTGATGATAGTGATTTTTTTTTTTAAAGATTTGAAAGACAGTCACAGGCCGGCGCTGCGGCTCACTTGGCTAATCATCTGCTTGCAGCGCCAGCACCCCGGGTTCTAGTCCCGGTTGGGGTGCCAGATTCTGTCCTGGTTGCTCCTCTTCCAGTCCAGCTCTCTGCTGTGGCCTGGGAAGGCAGTGGAGGATGGCCCAAGTGCTTGGGCCCTGCACCCGCATGGGAGACCGGGAGAAGCACCTGGCTCCTGGCTTCAGATCAGCACAGTGTGTGGGCCATAGCGGCCATTTGGGGAGTGAACCAATGGAAAAAGAAGACCTTTCTCTCTGTCTCTCTCTCTCTCACTGTCTAACTCTGCCTGTCAAAAAACAAAACAAAACAAAACAAAAAATCACAGAGAGGTGGTAGAGACAGAGTTCTTCCATCCACTGGTTCACTCCCCAAATGGCCGCAATGGTGGGAACTGAGCCTATCTGAAGCTAGAAGCCAGAAGCTTTTCCTGGGTGCAGGGACCCAAGGACTTGGGCCATCCTCCATTGCTTTCCCAGGTCATAGCAGAAAGCTGGAACAGAAGAGGAGCAGCCAGGACACAAACTGGTACCCATATGGGATGCTGGTGCTGCAAGTGGAGACAGCCTGTTACACCACAGTGTCAGCCTCCAATAGTGACTTTTTTTGTTTTTTGACAGGCAGAGTTAGACAATGAGAGAGAGAGAGAGAGAGAAAGGTCTTCCTTTTTTCTGTTGGTTCACCCCCCAAGTGGCCGCTACGGCCAGCACATTGCGCCGATCCAAAGCCAAGAGCCAGGTACTTCCTCCTGGTCTCCCATGTGGGTGCAGGGCCCAAGGACCTGGGCCATCCTCCACTGCCCTCCTGGGCCACAGCAGAGAGCTGGACTTGAAGAGGAGCAACCAGGACAGAATCCGGCACCCAACCGGGACTAGAACCTCGGGTGCTGGCGCCACAGGTGGAGGATTAGCCTAGTGAGCTGCGGCGCCGGCCAAATAGTGACTTTTAAAATATGTTAAAGGTTACTAATTTAGTTCATTAATTGTTTTTGGCAAATTTTACTTAGCACATTTCAAAATGATCAAGATGTAAGAGAGTGAGGGATGTGGGAAGTATCATTATGTTCTTAAAACTGTATATATGAAATACATAAACACATGAAATCTGTTCCTTTTATATAAATTATTAAGAAAAAATATTTATAAAATATATGTACAGTTTTAAGAACAATTAAGATGGGTATTTGGCATAGTTGTAAAATCTCCATTTGGAACACCCACATCCTAAATTGGAGTGTCTGGGTTCAAGTTCCAGCTGTACTGCTTTTTTTTTTTTTTTAAAGATTTATTTTATTTATTTGAAAGAGTTACAGAGAGAGGTAGAGACAGAGAGAGAGGTCTTCCATCCGATGGTTCACTCCCCCATCGTCCACTGCTATCCAAGGCCATAACAGAGAGCTGGATCAGAAGAGGAGCAGCCGGGACTAGAACCAGCGCCCATACGGGATGCTTGCGCTTCAGGCCAGTGCGTTAACCCGCTGGGCCACAGCGCCAGCCCTCCAGCTGTACTTCTGATTTCTATTTCTGGCATATGCATACCCTGGGACACAGCAGGTGATGGTTCAAGTTGCTGCCACCGATGTGAGTTCTTGGCTCCTAACTTTGGCTTGAGCCTGCTCGGGCTGTTGGAGGCATTTGGGGAGTCAACCAACAAGTTGGAACTCTCTCTGTCTTGTCTTTCTCTGTCTCTTGAATAATTTTTTTTAAAGGAACAATTATAAAGTGAACAGTTACATATATATTAACCAGGTCAAGAAATGGAACACCTAGTACACCTCTTGGTACAACTTTCAGTATATTAAGAAAGAATATCATACAATTCTGCCTTTATATTAATGGAACCCTACTGTATGTGTTGTTTTACCTTCTTTCACTCAGTATGGTATTTGCTTATTAAATGCATATTATTGTGGATAGCCAAAAGTTGTTTAACTTTAGTGTATTGTTATATTAATTATTCATTATTTCTACAGTTATTTTCCCTTCATACATATTTTTACTTATCTATTACTGAATTGTGTCCAACTTTTTTAGAATCACTTTCACATTTATTTCCATATCTATTTTTGCCATATTTGGGGAGTATGCCTATTCTTCATTGGTCCCAAGAGCAGAACCAGGAGACAAATCTTGTTTCACTTGACATGCACACATGTCCCATGATTTTTATTAATTATTGTTGATCCATAGTTTCATTTTTTCATTAACTGCTAGCACCATCTGACAATCACACAGGTAGAATTTGGTTGGAGAAGAATGATTAGAATATTCTGCAAGGAAGAGTATGGAGCAAGACTTGTGTGGGACTGAAAATGGGAGTGTTTGGGGGATGCTAAGTAAATTAATTTGATGGTTTGAATTGAGCAACATTTGTAAATAAGTCGTGCTAGGTACGGTTTTACCTGTGCCTCACCCATCAGAGTGTACTTGGCCTGTCTTGTAGATGCTGGCTTAAAACTTTTATTATTTCTCTCTTAATGTTTTTGTTGGCTTAAACATAGGTTTTGTGGGTTGTGAGATTAGTATGTAGACATCTCTCTCCTTAGTTAGGATACTGGCAGATAATATCTATTAATTTTTTAAGTTGGGCATATCTATTTAAATACAGAGCTTTTCTCAAGTTATTTTTGAGTATCCACTATGTTCAGATTATTATGTAGGTATAGACAGTAGAGGTTGTAGAAGTAGATGAATATATTTAAATTATCGCAAAAAACTTATGTCCATTTCAGAGGACTTATATAATAGCACTAAACAGGTAAAAACAGAAGTGATAAGGGAGGGTTCACTTGAACTACAGGGTTTGTTAAGGGTTTTATGGGAAAAATAGTGAAAAGGTTCATTAAGGGTTTTATGGGAAAAAATAGTGAAACTGTTC